TCATGGCTGCAATCACCATCTGCAGTGATTTTGGAGTCCAAATAAAGTCTCTCACTGTTTCCCTGTCTATTTGCCATGAAGTGATGGGACTGGATGCCATGATCTTAGTTTTCTGAATGTTGAGTTTTAAGCCAACCTTTTCACTCTCCTCTTACACTTTCATCAAGAGGCTCTTTAGTTCTTCTTCACTTTCTGCCATAAGGATGGTGTCATCTGCTTATCTGAGGTTATTGATAGTTCTCCCAGCAATCTTGATTCCATCTTGTACTTCATCTAGCCCAGCATTTTGCATGATGTACTCTGTATATAAGTTAAATAAGCAGGGTGACAATATACAATCATGTCCCCTGTAGTGGAACTTCAGAGTCTTAACCACTGGACCACCAGGGAAGTCCTATATATATCTTCCTTTGCCTAAACAAACTTAGCTAACAACTTGGAAGACCATGTCCAAACTTGGGATTCTGGGACTTCTTCTTGGAACAGAGAGCTAACCCTCACAAAGAGTGGTCTTACCCTCTTTGCCTCCCACAGTTCAGCTGCACGCTGTGCAATAACCCCACCCCATGGGTACCCCAGCCTACATGTCCAAGCTCCATTCCCACTTTTCCCTCTATAAAATTGTAGTCTCTTAGCCATTCCATGAGTCCAGGAGTTTATACTTCAGATCTAGGGGAGGAAGCTCACAAAAGCCTTGGAAGCAGGCTCAGGACCATTGGGGCAGAGAATTTTGCCTTCCAGTTACTTGGAACAAGGTCCAAAGGGGTGAAGTCAGCTGCAGCTGGGCATATTCCTTTGGTGTGATGGACTCCTGTGTAGGAATACAGCTGGAGAAGGACCAGAGCAGGGCCCCTTAAAGGGAGGCCCCTCCCACCTACATCTAAGGTTGTAGCAGATAGCAGCAGAGCCCCTGCATGTCTTTAGTAGGGCAGTGACATATATAGTATATTTGTATCTTGAAATATTAATCTGTTTATTTTCTATTTCCCACCTCCTCTTGCACTGTTATCTTTTTAAAATGTTTTAATTTTAAAATTAAAATCCAGCTGTGCTGGATCTTCGCTGTTGCAAGCAGGCTTTTCTCTAGTTGCAGTGAGTGGGGGCTACTCTCTAGGTGTGGTGCATGGGCTTCTCATTGCAGTGGCCTCTCTTGTTGCAGAGCACAGACTCTAGGGCCCGTGGGCTCCGTATTTGTGGTTCCCGGGCTCTGGAGCACAGGCTCAAATAGTTGTGGCGTGTGGGCTTAGTTGCTCTGCAGCATGTGGGATCTTCCTGGAGGTGAGTGATTCACTTCTAGCAAAGAGAACATGGCAGAATTGACAGCGTGGGATTTCTGAAGTTAGGTCATAAGAGACATTGCAACTTCTTCCTTAGTCTGTCTCTTTGATCACTCACTCTAGAGGAAACCTCTGGAGGAAGTCAGCTACCATGCCATAATCCCTGATCGAAACCGTGTCTCCTGCATTGGCAATTGGATTCTTTACCACTGAGCTGCCGTGGAAGCCCTTGCACTGGTATCTTAATGGCAGGACTGGAAAGAAAACTCTATTCTTGACTCCACTCTCTCCTTTTGTGGCTTCTTCTTTCTAGTGCCTTGTTTCATGAAGTGTACTCTTCTATAACTCCCTTATTAATCAGTGTATCAGAAACCCGGATGTCTCTAAATGTGAGAAAAGAGAAAAGCTGTGAAGCACTCTTAGCCTAGATTGGAGCTTGGAATACTCACATTTGACTTCTAAATTACAATGCTTTGGAGATAGAAGCTCCTGAAGAGGCCCAGTGTGAAGGGTACACAGGCAGGATGAGTACCAAAAAGGCAGTGAGCCACCACAGACAGGGCACCCCCCTCACCACCTGTCTTTGTGGCATGATGCTTTGCTCTGTGGCCTCACAGTCATGCCCTGTCCTTGCAACCTCTCCGTCTGGTACTAAGTGCTCTGCGCAGCACATTGTATGTGAAGATCTGCCAAGGAGCCAGAACCACCACGGTTTCTGTTTTCAAGATCCAAGGCTTGAATTCTGCCCACGGATCCTGTATATCTCTTGGCGGTGCTGCAGATGATTTCAGCAGGAGGCTCTGACACTTCTTAATCCCAGGACGAGTGTCTACTCATAGCCTCACTCTTGCTCCCCCATCTGTGGCTGGTCTTCGCCAACCAGCAGAAGAACAGAACCAGCTAACTTCTTACTCAGGTCTTACCATCTGCTGCCTGTGTCCAACCCATCAGTCCAGGTGAGTACAATCCAACACTTCTATTTCTCTTTCTGTCCCTTCCATCCTTACTGCCATCCCCCTCTCTGAGCATGCACTCCGGAAAGCTTTCACCTGGCCACTGTATATTCATGAGGGGCATAGAAGACAGTATCACTGGAGAATCCGGGAGAAGAAATTTGGCTCTCCTAGACCCCGCCTCCGCTCCTCCCTTTTCAAGTTTTGGAGGAGCACCTAACTGGTAAGGTTACAAGGCTGAAATGCTACATGAATTACCCCAAGACTGAGAAAGTAGTATTCATCTATCCATTTGCTGTCCACAGTCTAAACCTCTGAGTTTGGTTTGTTTTGCAAATACTTAGTTACAAGGGGGAGAATCAAGAGGGTGGTAGTGGTGGTGGCTGTTGCTCAGTCGCTAAGTGGTGTCTGACTCTTTGCAACCCCATGAACTGCAGCATGCCAGGCTTCCCTGTCCTGCACTATCTCCTTTTTAAGTATATCCACAAAACTTTTGATACATCTCCCTTCAAGTGGCAGAGCTCTTCCCCTTGAGTGTGGGCATGACCAAGTGAGTGATTCACTTCTAGCAAAGAGAACATAGCAGAAGTGACAGGATATGACTTCTTCTGAGATTTAGGTCTTAAGAGGCATTGCAGCTTATTCCTTAGTCTGTCTCTTTGATCACTCACTCTGGAGGAAGCCAGCTGCGATGCCATAAGGGCATTCAAGCAGAGGCCAACATGGCAAGAAACTTAGGCCTCCAGCGAATAGCTATGTTTGAGTGAGCCATCATGGAAGGCCCAGTCAAGCTTCAGTTAAGCCTTCAGACGCCTGCAGCCCAAGGCCAACACCTTGAGCTAACCTCTGAGCCAGGACCACTCAGATAAGCCTCTCCCCGATTCCACACGGAAACTGTGTGAGAACACATGTGTCTATTCTTTTTCAACTGAAATATTGTTGATTTGGGGGACTTCCCTGGTGGTTTAGTAGTAAAGAATTTGCCTGTGAATTCTCAGCAAGAGAAGCTGATTCGATCATTGGGTCAGGAAGATCCCCTGGAGAAGGAAGAGGCAACCCACTCCAGTATTCTTGCCTGGAAAACCCCATGGATAGAGGAGCTTGGCAGGCTACAGTCCATGGGGTCACAAAAGAGTCAGACACGACTCATCTACTGAACAACAATATAGTTGATTTACAAAGTTGTGTTAGTTTCAGATTATAAGTCTGTTGTTTTAAGCCACTTTTTTTTGGCATCATTTGTTATGCAGCAATAGATAATACAAAATTGTTGAGAATAGTATAGTCTAATCCTACTCCTGGACAAACATCTAAAAACTCCTATCAAGTGGTAACACTACCTGAAGAGCAAGGTGCAATGGATTTGTAGACATAATGGCTGCATCTAAAATTCAAGTGGCACTAGTGGTACTACACCAAAAATAAGTGGAAGAAGTCATTTCTTGGTGGAAATAAAGATTCCAGGGCCTTCAGACTATTAAGAGCATCACAACAATTGGGAGATTGCAATAATCATGGAGTCATTTGGAGGCAGTTAATAGCAGGTCTTGAGTAGGAAGGAAACTTTTCACTCTCAGAAGCTGAGAATGCTTCACAAACATACTGCTGTCATACAAATTTATGGAAAAGTATATGTCTCCTTAAACATCCTCTTACCCATCCATATTAACCAAGAATAAAAAGTTGAAATTTCCACCTATAGGGGCCCTGTCAAAATGAAATTGACATACTGACACCATTAAGTACCCATGTGAGAGTGGAGTATATTTGACAGCCAGAAGATTGAAATTCTTTCTTGACTATAAAACTGTATTTCTAAAGTCTTAACATTGTGAATTAAGATTCAGTGGGAGAGCAATTTCCCTATTAAATAAAATATGAGGAAAAGACATAAAAAGGAGACCAGTTAACTGAATTACATACATTTCCTGTCTAAATTAATCTTACATCTGTAAGAATCATCTAGATGGGCCATATATACAAAGAGTCAAATACTTTACAAGTTGACCAGAACATAACTTAGAGCTAAGAAGATATACCTGAGGTTTATTTGCAGCTGCATTACTCAAACAATCATAACACAGATGTGGGATCTATCATTTCCTTTAGCAGTAAGAGCAAAAAGTAAGTCTTTAAACAAGGCCCTAGAAACACTCTACATTCTATCTTTCTTCTCAATACCTCATCATCAAATTTTTAAAGTCAGCAAATATTCACTGAATGGCTACTAAGTACAAAGCATTGTGAAGATGCAGAGTATAAGCCAAAGCTCCTGCCATTAAAAAAGAAAATCATAGAAATGAGATGAGAATCCAAAACATGTCATGCCTTGCATGCAGTAATCACTAGCAGGTAGGTTGATGAAAAAGCCTCCTGTGCTTGGTTACCTAGGCAACAGCAAGAACCGCACCCCCTCCTTTTTTCTAACAGAACCCTGCCTTTGTTCAGAATGTTCTCAGTCCCAGGAATGAGCCTCGCTTGAGCTAATCCAGTTTCAGCTCATCCATTCCCCTTTGCCAGATATTCATCTTCCCTGCCTCCTCACCACGTGATCCAAGTTTCCTGGATGGTCTCTAGGGAAACTATCCTTTTTCTAGGAAAGTCCTCTCTCCATCCGCTCCCTTCTTCCTTCTGCTTGGAATACTGGCATTAAGATGTGGTTTCTGAGGCTATGGTGACCATGGAGAAATAAGGCCATGGTGATAAGTAATAAATAAGTAGTGTAGACTAAAAGAGCATTAGGAATTCAGAGCCAGGAGAATCCACTTACATTTGGAGTGGTAGAATGGATAGCTGTTGTTTTTGCCTGCCTAGTTTCCATTTCCCCTTCTGGTAACAGTATCTGATTTTCCTATGGGGACTCACCCAACCCCCATTGTCTGTTAATGCAGTTCTGTGAGGTTTACTCTGCCTGTTTGTCTAGGAATGGATGAATGACCCAGACCAGGTTAATCAGAGTACCGTAGCAATAGGTTCAGGATGGGCGTGTAACCGATCCTTTTTTAGGACTTTTGTTGGAACTTTTAACAAAGAGAAGTTCATTTTTCCCAAGGTGGTTAAGTTGGTAGGATTTTAACCTTGAGTTTATGGGGCTCCCCATGAAACTTATTGTCACCCACTCCCTGGTAAAACTAACTCAGAAAGAAATCAACAGATCAAAAGAATCAGCAGAATTCAGACAGAATGATTCCTGATAATATTTTACCTAAAGTCATATTTAAACTCTATACTTGGACTTATCAATTACATGAATCAATATTCTTTTTCTTTCTTAAACCCATTTGAGATTAGCCTCCTCACTTACAGCTGAAAGTATTCTAACACAGGTGGCTAGGGATTGTTATACAGAGAAAATGGGGCATAACCTGTACTCTTAACATGGATCGAAGTTTGGTAACAGAAGAGAAGGGGGTGCTTCTGAGTGGAATAAATAATGTAAACAAAAATAGTGAATAAAAACGTCATGGTGTAACAAACCATTTACTTTACAGAATAAATGAATACAGAAATTTAGGTCCGAATCAGAATACAGATGGGCTTGAAGGCTAGGGGAGGTCTGAGCTTTATTCTGTAGCCAACTCTTTTAAGCCAAAGAGTCACCTGGTCAGATCAGTGTTTGGGGAGAATTAATTCGGTAGGATCTAACAGGGTGGACTGAAATTGGGAAAGCTCAAGTGTGAGACAATGAGAATAGAATCCAAGTATAGAATCTGCCCAAGATGAGAGGCCCTTGACAGTAGGTGACCACTCTGCAGGGCAGGGCTAATCAGTTTTTAAATTACCAAATAATAAATAAGGAAACTCTTGATGAAGTTTTGACTTAAGAGGCATGGTACATAGGATTAGTAAGTACTCATGATTAGTACCTACAAAGTACTTATGATTGGTCATGTATATAGTCCACAGATATTTACTATGAGCCCAGCATTCTGCCAGATGCTTGGTACATAATAATAAACATAACAGCTGTGAAGACCAGTTGATGAGGTATACGTCCATGAGACAAGTAACTGAACACAACTATGGATGTTTCATACATTCATGAAACAACTGAACACAACAATTTTCAGGTGCTCTGAAAATTATTGGGTGCTATGAGATCATTTATCAGGGAACCTAATCCCAGTCTCACTAGGAGTCTGGGAAGCTCCCCATAAGTAGTAACATTTAAAATGGGACTTGAAGTAGGAATGGGAGTTATTGTGGTGAAAGGGGTTGATGACTAGAACACTCCAAGTAGAAACATGCTAAGGTTAGATGGTATTTCTATCAAAGATTCAACAAAATTTCAATGTGGTTTTCTTCCAATGGAGCAGAAAGAGTCTAAACTGTTAAGTAGGAGGCTGGATTATGCAGGGTCTTGTGTGCAATTAAAAGGATTTGGAACTCTGTCTAAAGAGCAATGTTAACGTATTTTCTCAAAAAGGAGCCAATGAAGGGACCAGTCTCATGGATATTCCCAGTGGGTGGTTACCAAGTGGTGGGACCTAAGGTTTTGGAGAAGGTTCCTGCTTGCAAACTGATGTCTAAGATTTATTGAACATGAAATATTTGATACAACAATAGACAATCACATGTCAAATTTCTCTAGGAAGGGGAGCACTATGAGAGTCATGCAAATGATTTATAGCTGAACTGCCCTGAAAACAGGTTTGCAGGTCACAGAGAGGTGGAGGAAAGGAAGAAATCTGATACAGAAAGCAATCACAGAGAGGGGAAAGGGATACATGAAAAAAACACTGGAGACACCAGAGAGAATACCTAGCACATAGTATACGCTCAACAAATACTTGAAGAAATGAAAGAAAGGGAGGAAGAAATTTCATAATTATATTAAGACCTGGCATCTAATTTGGGCAAGCAAATTGGCTCTTGTCTCTCTGAGCCCACAGATGTCATGTATTAGGAAGACTAGGGACAAGGAAAGGAGAGAACATAAATATAGTACATTCCCAGAAGTCCTGGGAGTGCCTAGAGCACTTGTGATTCAGTTGGTTCCTGGGACCACAGGTCAGACAATGACTTTGTCTTCCAATGAAGAAGACATAACAGGGTGCTCAGGGCCGGTGCACCGGGATGACCCTGAGGGATGGGATGGGGAGGGAGGTGGGAGGGGGTTTCAGGATGGGGACACATACACACCTGTGGCTGATTCATGTGAATGTATGGCAAGAACCACTACAATATTGTAAAATAATTAGCCTCCAATTAAAATTAATTAATTTACAAAGAAAAAGAAGACATAGGAATTTTCCCCAGGAAGGGGAGGAGCCTTGGGAACAGGCCGGGACTGGAGGCCTGTGAGAATAGTGGACAGAAAAACCATGGCAGATACTGCATTTCTGTGCTGGCAAGGCTGAGGACCAGCATCTAGACCGTGGGACCCTACGTCTCTGAGACTTCCCAATAGCCACTGCCCTTCTTCTGACAGTTCTTTAGCAGCACCTGGAACAAACTCTTCATTTGCACCCCTGAGAGGTTTTTTGTTATTGAATCATTATTGCTAACCGAGAGTCATCCACACCCATGGGCTTTAGTTGGGACAGAAAAATCTGACAAAAACTGCATTTGAGTACTTAAGGATGGTTTCTCATTTTCTTTCCATGCAATACAAAAGATACACGTCCCATTTTCCTTCTGTACATTTCAATTAAATATGTATGTTTGCCATATAAGCCTCTGCTGTCAGAATAAAAATACTTCTGGAATAGCTCAGTAAGCTCACTGTGTTAATGGTAACTTGACCTTTCACTGATTTTAAATGAACCAACAGCGAAACAGTAAGTTGCCTTAATTAAAGCATTATCATCATTAAAGATTATTAGATAAATAGGGAAAGGACTCCCTGAAAACCAGCATGTGCTCATTGGTTATAACAACCCTAGAATTTTGAAGGTAGCATGATTGAATAGTCTGGAATTGAGTTTGGTGATTGAGTATCTCTGCAAAAATATGAACCATGTTAACAATGATTCCTTCTCCCCAGTGTGTTCTAAAGATTGTTTCCATGGCAATCTACATTGTTTTGTCTAAATTATTCTTCATGCCACTTTTTTCCCTACATCTAGATATTTGTAAAGCACCTATCACTTGAGTATCTCTTTTCTGATAAAGTGCCCAGGAGGGAAAAGAGAATATTTCTCGGAAGAAATGAAAAGCTGACAGTTGTCAAGAAGAGCCCAATTTGTGAGATTATGTAGGGCCTGAGGTTCTCTACAGAGCACTCCACACTGCCCCTGCCCCTGCAATGGGATCCACATTCTGCTCAGGTGATGGGAAAGCAAAAACCCCAGTTCACATCTCTGTCACTTCTGAGATGTTTTCTCAGGAGCCCAGTCCTTCCCAGGCTTTGGGCAGAATGATAATCTGAGGGTTGGGGAAGGAGGAGATGGCTGGGCTGAGAGGCGATCACCCTTAGAAAACAGATGCCTCTACTGTGTAGCAGAAACAGTGATCCTTGTACATCAAATAATTCCACTTCTCTCAGCACACAGGAAGATTTCATTTTCTAGGTATGGCCAGATACTAGTTCTAGGAGAGGCAATGAACTCCTCATTGCTGACTTATCAGGGCAGAAGCAATGAACACTACTTCTTGGCCAGGCTCAAAAATCTCCTGAGATATATTTTGCTGTCTCTCCTCTCTCATCAACTGGCTGGCTGGATATTGAGGAACCAGTGAAGGATTCCAAGGTCCTAGGAGATGGAGGGACCACTGGATGGAAGGAGTGGGTCCTAAATCACTATGTGGTAGACCGTCATACACCTGAACTGATGTGAATGAGGAATGATGTGTTAAGCTACTAACATTTGGACTGAAGCCCCAGTATTTTGACCACCTGATGCAAAGAGCCAACTCATTGGAAAAGACCCTAATGCTGGGAATGATTGAGGGCAGGAGGAGAAGAGGGTGACAGAGGATGAGTTGGTTAGATAGCAGCACCAACTCAATGGACACGAATTTGAGCAGACTCCAGGAGGTAGAAGAGGACAGAGGAGTCTGTCATGCTGCAGTCCATGAGGTCACAAAGAGTCAGACACAACTTAGCAACAGAATGATAACAACTGACATTTGGGGTTGTTTGTCAAAGCAGTTGTCCTAATAGATGAGCTATGGCAGGTTTCTGGGCAGGACCATCAACAGCTGGCAGCAGGAACTCCATGGAAGGGAACGAAGTGCAGTAACCAGAGGGAAAATGGACAGAGTCCAGAGCAGGGTCTGCCAAGTGCTATCAGAAGCCATGGCCTGACATTAGCTGAGCCTGACAAGGGGAGATCAAAGGACTGGGGTTCCCACTGGGCTGGAGCCCTTGCGGGACCCCAGTTCACATCTCTGTCACTTCTGAGATGTTTTCTCAGGAGCCCAGTCCTTCCCAGGCTTTGGGCAGAATGATAATCTGAGGGTTGGGGAAGGAGGAGATGGCTGGGCTGAGAGGCGATCACCCTTAGAAAACAGATGCCTCTACTGTGTAGCAGAAACAGTGATCCTTGTACATCAAATAATTCCACTTCTCTCAGCACACAGGAAGATTTCATTTTCTAGGTATGGCCAGATACTAGTTCTAGGAGAGGCAATGAACTCCTCATTGCTGACTTATCAGGGCAGAAGCAATGAACACTACTTCTTGGCCAGGCTCAAAAATCTCCTGAGATATATTTTGCTGTCTCTCCTCTCTCATCAACTGGCTGGCTGGATATTGAGGAACCAGTGAAGGATTCCAAGGTCCTAGGAGATGGAGGGACCACTGGATGGAAGGAGTGGGTCCTAAATCACTATGTGGTAGACCGTCATACACCTGAACTGATGTGAATGAGGAATGATGTGTTAAGCTACTAACATTTGGACTGAAGCCCCAGTATTTTGACCACCTGATGCAAAGAGCCAACTCATTGGAAAAGACCCTAATGCTGGGAATGATTGAGGGCAGGAGGAGAAGAGGGTGACAGAGGATGAGTTGGTTAGATAGCAGCACCAACTCAATGGACACGAATTTGAGCAGACTCCAGGAGGTAGAAGAGGACAGAGGAGTCTGTCATGCTGCAGTCCATGAGGTCACAAAGAGTCAGACACAACTTAGCAACAGAATGATAACAACTGACATTTGGGGTTGTTTGTCAAAGCAGTTGTCCTAATAGATGAGCTATGGCAGGTTTCTGAGCAGGACCATCAACAGCTGGCAGCAGGAACTCCATGGAAGGGAACGAAGTGCAGTAACCAGAGGGAAAATGGACAGAGTCCAGAGCAGGGTCTGCCAAGTGCTATCAGAAGCCATGGCCTGACATTAGCTGAGCCTGACAAGGGGAGATCAAAGGACTGGGGTTCCCACTGGGCTGGAGCCCTTGCGGGCACGGTGTGCCTTCGTTTCAAAGCAGGGAAGTGAGGCCTTTAGGAAGCAATCAGGCAAGGCAGGGGTTCCAGCCAAAGGGAAGACTGGACCTACCTGGTGACCAGGACTGCAGCACAGGGCAGAGGCTTGGACACAGGAGAACAACGTAAGAATTTCTCCCCAAGCCCAGGGTCATGTCAGAGGAACAAAAGTGGCAGCTGCAGCGTGGCCGACTCAATGTCAGCCTTCTGGGGTAATAATTCTCAGGGAGCAACTTGTCGCCTCGTACTTATAGGAGGGCACCAAGTGTCCTTGGCAACCGCAGAGGGCGGTAGATGAAAGCAAGCCAATCACGCAGTGGGAGAGCAGAACCAGGGCTCAGGAAGTGAGCTAAGAATCAGGAGCCTGTCTATGGGGTCAGCAGGTGGGAGACGGTGGGAATCAGAGGTTAAAAAAAGTACTCTGAGAAAACAGCAATAATGGGGCTTAATAATCAGTCAGCTGCCTTCTAACACCAGGTCAGGTAGACTTCAAGAATGGCAACAGGTGGGTGATGAGAAGGGACACTGATGAGCCAGGAGGTCAGAAAGTACCTGACACCAGTCAACAAGGAAAGTAATCATCACAAGAAAGCATCCTCATTTCCTCCCTGGCAGTGCAGCGAATGGTCTGTGTCAATGTGCTAGCAAGGTCTGGCTTTCCCTGAACATCACTATGGCCCACATGTTCCCATAGAGAGAATCCACACTCCTCTCACTCAAGTGTTAGGAGGTGGAATGACCACTCTACCTGCAGGCACTGGACAATCGCCTGTTACTGAGACGCTTATAAAACAGTTTTTATAGGCAATGAGCTGTGAGACTGTTAACATTTACATTCTGCCCCATGCCTAGGAGTTTGGCTAGCTGTGTGTGAAAGATACAAGTTCTGCAGGTTGATCATTAGGAGTTGGACGGTATTTTATCGGGAGAAGTGGTTAGCAGCCCTTGGGATAATTAAGCTCTCATCCAGAGACTAGGGGAGCTCTAAATGACCAGGGATGGCACAGGCACATTGAGTTGGACAAAAGGCCAGCTGAATGCAGGATTCTGTCTCTAGTGAAGAGTGGTAGATGTTTTCCTGCAAGTCTCTCACTATGGGCAGAGAGTGCATTGGTCATAGGAAGGATCACCACAACATTCTTTCAAACAAGAGAGACACAGTCTTTTATTATTTAAGGTGAAATCAAATTTCTAATAGTAAGGAAACTCTCCAAGAAAGATCTTCTTATAGACTATGAATAATCTCATTTATACTATAATGTAAATGACTAATATAACTTTCCAGAATAGATTTTAACTGTGGAGAGGCAGAGAGCAGAGTCTGAGAGGTGGGAGCAAAATGGGACTATAAGGAATGGGAAGCTCACAGAAAAGAGTATATCTAGGGATGCTACTGGTACTGTTTTACAAGACGACCTTAACTTACTGCTCCAGACTCCTCCCCTGCCTGTCTGATCACCTTTCACACCTATCCTACAGTACTGAAGGATGTTTACCTTTCTGAAGACACATCATATCCTTTCATCTCCGCTTCCCATCTGTATTCCCCAAGCTTGGGGCTTTTTTCTACCCCATATAGTC